AGAAAAACAAAACCTTTCCTTCTCAACAAATTATTTTCTCCTGAAATTATACTTCTTTCAGTTAGAACAAGATTTATTTAGCTAAGAATCAAATGAGAGAAAGAATGCAAATACGTAGTGATATTGATGACATGAGTTGATTCAATTCATCCATGATATTAAGTCATAATTGAGTGATTCATCCTGTCATGTTATCCAGATTGGGCTGGAGAAACAATGAGGTAAATATCTTATTCTGAAACATCGGATGTCCGCAAATGAGAATTACAGTGTTCTAGATGAGTTTCACCTTTTTCATATACTTCAATGTGTAGCAATCCTGAGAATGTTATCTGATTCAATTATATAACGAACATTTGAAGAAAAATTTGAATAGGACAAAGTGTTCCTTGTATGATTCAATGTTCAATGAAATTTCAACAAGATTGCTGTATCAGGATTGAATCAAATGACAAAATTAATGTCATTACGTATTGTAATGGATAACATGATTAGATCAAACTAATTCTTGACATAAAATTGTGATGTCACGTTACCCAGATTGATGCTCATAAAGTAATGAGGCAAGTATCTCATTTCAAAACATGGAATGTTCGCCATTGAGTTGACCATGTTCAATGTAAGTATAATTTTACTTCTTTTTTGATATGTTTTCTAGCAATCCTATGAATGTTATCTAAATCAATTAGATATCGAATATTTTGAGTACAAATTGAATAGGAGAGTGCTTCTTGTATAATTCAATGTTCATATAAAAGTAGTAGTATTTTTTCTCTCTTGTAATCCAATGCTCATATATAAATAATTGTTTAGAGAGTTGATTTTTTCAGTTTGTGTCTGAAAGTTACTTTGCATGTTCTACATTTATTAATTTTCGTAAGTAACTTACGGTATATGATAATCTGAAACTACTTTCATTTGGTCGCGACGACCAGCGATAGACCGGTTTCATAGTACCAGTCAGTACCAGTTCACTCCATCTCAAATGACCCTTCCTGTACTTACGAGGAGCTAATACTTCAAAAACCGGTCTATTGATGGTCGTCCCGCCAAGTAAAATCAATTTCAGCTTTCCATTTACAGGAAGTTACTTATAACGAATAACGAATCTTCCACATAGAAGACGCTGCACAGGTGCGTGATGGTTTTATTTCAGCTTTCTGCACCTCATCAGCTAGGTAGATAGCTGTTTTTCCATCAGGAATCTGTCACACGTACCTCAATATCATAATTTCACATGAGTGGCAGGAGTAACATGTCGTATTTTGAAAGTTAATATGCAGCTCTCCCTTTGCTGATTATTTTCATTTCGTAACTTCTTTGACAGATGTCAAAAGAGATTTGAAATGTGAATTAGGTCGATGTTGTTGGTTGACTTCTGAAACATCCGACATCAGTCTGTTGTTATTTTCCCACCATCCATATTTTTCTTCAAGGCGCACACAATCCTTTTTGGAGGATCTATTCGAAACACACTCCTCTCCAGACATGAGAATATACGCTGATTCTTTTAGAGTGAGGTTTTTGGCAATTATTGTCGTCTTGTTCTATTCAACTCAATGTCCTCCATCTGATTTCAAAATGTGTTTTCGGACAATTTCGATATCGTTAATTGTCTATTTCTGATGTAATCTCGATTATCATTCCCACACATTTTCGATGGTCTCCAAGTTTCATCAATATAACTTCCACAATAAAAACAAAGTATTTAATGAATGCATTTTTTGTTTTCTTATGTGCTATTGGGTTTTGTTTGTGTGAGTATAGATCTTGTTTTGCAAAAAGTTCCAACATCATATGTATTTCCAATTCGTCTCATCTATTCAGATAGATCTAAAATGCTAGGTATAACGTTAGTTGTGAAAAATTCCAGTGGATATTGAGTCGTTAGTTCTTGAGTTGGAGGTTGTTGAATTTATGATGCTGTTTGTGAGGTCATTTGGTTTCTAACTAACTATTTATTTTATATTGCAGCAATCTTTGAATTCATTTAGAGAATCAGAGTTAACCTTCTCTTTCAGAACATTTTTTATGATTGAAATTCTTGTTTTTGCTCTGTTATGATCACAAATAATTATACTTTTTCAACACTCGCATGACAATTTGTTGTGTAGTGGAAAATAGAATAAAATAGAAATAGAATTGAAAATTTGAATGAATAGCTGAAAATAACAATTTTGTTAAGCAATGAATCGTGAAATGAAATGACAATAAAATGAGTTCTACCAGACCGTGGAAACACATCAAGAAGGGTGTTCCGCTGAGACCGATCATGAGTTCCAGAAACTCAGCTACTCGAAACTTTTCAGATTTTTTCTTTCGATGATATAACCACTACATGGAAAAAAATCATCTTCTGTGAAGAATTAAAGCATTTTGTTGAATTTCTAGGTACAATCGAAGTCACGAAGCAGGATCAATTAATCAGTTCCATCTTGGAAAGCCTTCATTCCAATATTTCTTTCGAAGAAGCACTTCAAATCATACAGAGGAAGCTATCCGAAGACGAGTACCTGAAAAATTTAACGAACTTACTCATAGAAGTGATCATGGAATTACCAGCATGTTGTGTACGGAATTGATATTTTCAACTGAAGAACAATTTCTTCACGCACGATGAGGAACTGCCAATGAGATTTCCTTTTTTACCAGTTATAGCCAACATTTATATGGAGTGTTTCGAAACTCTGGCAATTCAAGAAACCCACAAGAAGCCCACGAGAAACGTTGACGACACCTTCATAGTATGAAACCATGGGAATATAGAGCTAGATACCTCTCTAAAGCAAATCAATAGCATTAGCAAATCAGCGTTAGCTTTCTCTTTCAGAACATTTTTTATAATTGAAATTCTTGTTTTTGCTCTGTTACGATCATAAATAATTATACTCTTTCAACACTGGCATGACCATTTGATGTGGAGTGGAAAATAGAATAGAATAGAAATAGAATTGAAAATTTAAATGAATAGCTGAAAATAACAATTTTGTTAAGCAATGAATCGTGAAATGAAATGACAAGAAAATAAGTTCTACCAGACCGGGGAAACACATCAAGAAGGGTGTTCTGCTGAGACCGATCATGAGTTCCAGAAACTCAGCTACTCGAAACTTGTTCCGATTTTTTCTTCCGATGATATAACCACTACATGGAGAAAAATCATCTTCTGTGAAGAATTCGAAACATGTTGTTGAATTTCCAGATACAATCGAAATCACGAAGCAGGATCAATTGATCAGTTCCATGGTAGAAAGCCTTCATTCCAATATTTCTTTCGAAGCAGCACTTCGGATCATACAGAGGAAGCTATCCGAAGACGAGTACCTGAAAAATTTAACGAACTTACTTATAGAAGTAATCATGGAATTACTAGCATGTTGTGTACGGTACTGATATTTCCAACTGAAGAACAAATTCTTCACGCATGATGAGGAACTGCCAATGAGATGTCCACTTTTACCAGTTATAGTCAAAATTTATATGGAGTGGTTTGAAACTCTTAGCAATTGAAGAGAAACGTTGACGACACCTTCATAGTATGAAACCATGGGAATATAGAACTAGACACCTCTCTTAAGCAAATAAATAGCATAAAACTTTCGTCACCTCCACAATGGAGAAAAAAATCCATAACGATTTGGCATTCTCAGACGTATCAGTGGAGAGGAATACCACAAAGAGGAAAACATCTGTATAACGAAAACTCACAAAGGACAGTATTTTAATTACGAATCCAATCATCATCAATCTTCCAGAATAGAAATTATAAGGACTCTAGTAGATCGTGCTTTCGGGCTCTGTAATATGAAGGAAGGTCTTGAGAAGGAACTAGGCATCATCAACAAAAATTTTCCATGAAATGGTTACTCCAAAGTGTTGGTGTAACAAACACTGGCTAGAAGATATCAAGAGCCTTACAAGAAAGATAAACCGTCACAGTGCTTGCCCTTTTCTATATCAGAGAATTGTCAAAAAGGATAAGAAGAATTGGGACAAAGTACAACATCAAAACCCGCTTCAGATCCGGAAACACATGCATAACCGCCTCACGAAAACCAGGCCATCTAACGCGTGCTGCGATTCCAAGAATTGCATTTACCGTATGAGTACGGCAAATCCTCTTTCAGTTAAACTGCGAGGCCATTGGGAGTCCGCATGGTCAGGCACAAGAGACACACACAGCTATAAGAAACCAGCAAATCGGGAATATCAGAACATGTTTGGACTCATCAATATAACATCAAGTGGTCCCAAGTTGGGATCATCCACAGGGAGGAACACTGGTTTAGGAGGGAGTTTGAAGAAGCTACATGTTGTCCAACGATGCATTGAGCCAAGCTAGCGTATAGATATGGAACCTTGGATCAAGCGGAAAAACGGGAAATTTCCACCAAACCGGTAAAGCGAAGAGAGGGAAGAAGGGATAGGTGAAAGCTTTCGAATGACCTTCAAATAGATATCTCTCGGGAGAATATTCCAGTAATCATCCGAAAACGTCGTGAAATAACTTAGTTTGATATTTTTTTCAATTTTTCCATTCCAATTTCATTCGTTTGATTATTTAAATTTTTTGCTTATTTTTATTTTAAATCAATCTCATTTCCTGCCCAATGCAATTATTTTTTCCAGCAATTCATTTCAATTTTCAATTTCATTCGTTTTTTTCTGGAAGTTTCAGGTCATATTATATCGTATTAGACACTATAAGTCTGAAATTATGAAATTCAGAAAGAATCCAGTTTCACCAACGGAAAAAGGTAACATTCAAAATGCAAATACATATATTTTATATCCTGAGTAAGATGATCTCACTGGTAGGTATTATATTACCAAGATAATAACTTTCAAGACTTTGAGTCAGCAGAGTCAGTAGAACTTAATACTTTCGTTATTTCCAATCGTCTCCTGCTGACACCGCTGTCTACATATTAGAAATGGACCCTGTGTAGCGTTCAATTTTAGCTTTAGATATCTAACCACGTTATAAAGAATTGTCGATATACGTAAGGTATAACAAAATGCTATGACTCTTCATTTCACTCACAATAATTACACTTCACGATGTGATGACTTACAAATCACTATATTCAATCGAGAGAGGTAAAAATTTATTCGTAATCTTGTGGAAGTTCAACATGTTCACAGTATCACACCAAAACCCAAAACGACCTTTCTAATAGATCTAGCCGATAAAAAATAGTCAGGAGGTTGCATCACTTTGTCCCGTATATCGAACTTCGATCAGCTGATGCTAACTTATCACCACCACTTCAGATCAATCCATCTGTAACGAGGGTAAAATTCCAATAGTTAACGATCCCGAGCGTAAGGTACATGAAAGACTTTCCACGTCTCCAGCTGGAAAAAGAATATGCAACATTATTATTGGGTACACACAATCGGTTTTCTCGAATTTCACGACAGTTGGATCTCGATCAAAAATCGACTTTTATTATTATCTTATTATCGCTTACCTTGATGTATTTTCCCTTGATTCACGTTATAATAGTTAACGATCCCGAGCGTAAGGTACATGAAAGACTTTCCACGTCTCCAACTGGAAAAAGAACATGCAACATTATTATTGGGTACACACAATCGGTTTCCTCGAATTTCACGACAGTTGGATCTCTATCAAAAATCAACTTTTATTATTATCTTATTATCGCTTACCTTGATGTATTTTCCCTTGATTCAGAATTTCTGTTGTCCCAATTGAATTCTGGTTTTGATTTGTTGTTTACATTTTGGTGTTCGCCCGTTGACAGAAATAGGACCTTGGACGATGCGCAATCGTTTCGGCTGTCGAAACTATGCGACATTGCCAGGCATCCGAGAGAAATTTTAGCAGAACACGATGTTTCTTGATGATTTCTGGTAGGATAAGGTATTTCCTGAGCTGGTAATGTGTATTTGGCAAGTTATTTAACATCGGTGGCGTATTAGGTCGTGTTTGCAATAGTTGAGTTAGAGGAAAGCATTAAAATCAATTCTATTTCGGTTGATGATCTTATCAGTGACTTCTCTGGGCAACTCAACAAATTTGAGTTTTGACAGTCTGGAAGAAGAGGGTGACCAGTGGGGGAGAAGTGGAGAGGAGAAAGGTTGTGTGATGTGTGTTGAGGTCTTGGTTCGTGAAATTTTATGATTTTTGAATCATCCTTTACTGGGAATATATTTTCGAACCTAATTCAACAAGTATGATAGATTGGTGTTGCTTTTGTGTGTAGTTTCGGTATTTATCAGAATTTGAACTCTACGGAGGATCTCATCTATAGGTGCAATAAGGTTGAAAATCGTCTCGCAGGGCAGATCGGCTATTTGAGTCGTTCTTCTCAACTCTAATACTGTCTTTTTCAAAGAGAAATACTCCTAATTAGATCTTTCTTTCGTAAGGTTTTTCCTCGTTTCCCATTTTCCTTGGTTGTGAAAGTTAGTGGAGGTGTGCAGTACTTACAGGGTGGACTTTGTGTACTTGACTGGTTGGTTTCTGACCTAGGCTACAGGGTGGTGCAACCTTTTCCTTCTACAGGGTGGTGCAACCTTCATCTTCTACAGGGTGATCCCAGTAGACTGAAGTTACACAGGTATCAGGAAGAGTACGGGGTGATCTACTCCTCCTCAGACGACAAATCTACTTCCAAACCTATCGACGCTAGGACACGCAAGTTCTTGATCATATATCTATTTGCTTACGAGTCGTTTATTAGTATTACCTCGATAGCTGATTGCCTACCTGAATAATAAGCTTGTGACATGAATTGTACTCGACTGCCCGCGCATATATGTATTTGTGTGTACATATCGATGAATTTTATTGTTTTCATTGCCCTTGTTTACTTCGCTTAGTTGAATCTGCCACGCGGCTGAAAATACTGTTTAGGAGCTGTAATAGTTATGTAGGTCGTTCAGTGTACTACTTATATTTATTGTAATCGTGATTGAGCGGATATTGGGGTGCTCAAGTACATCATATCGGGCATTTGGCCTGCCTCATTAATGCATGCGCAACACGTGAGCTCACGCGGTCGCTAAATAAATTGCATTTTGACTCAGATCTTCTAAATTCCGAGTGTTTAATGTTGTTGTTGACTATTGATGCGATAACAGTATTGTTGTTTTTTTTTGTTTTCTTGTTGTTTCTATTCATACTCATTACCTCCAACCTTCGGACAAATAGATAATATTGCTGAATGCTTGTTTATGCTTGATTATTTTAATTTTGTTGGTTGTTCAACTCGAGATGGGTAATTTGTTCAACTTCCAACTTACAGATACTAGTGCTTGACCTCTGCTTTGTTATTTTTCATAATATCATGAGTTTAGTAAGGCCTAACTTGCTGGAAGTGCGAAGAATTTAGTTCAGTGATTGATGTTTATTTGAAATTTATTAAACTCTTCAAACTTATACTGGCAATTTATTCCAACTCTTTGGGGTTGGGAATCTCAGTAGCGGGATACTTGTGGGTAAAAGAATTTACTTGGCACCCATTGAAGACTCCACTAGAATTTGGGGGTTTACTTATCGAAACAACCCTTCTCCACTGTAGCAGCCGCAAATATCCTGAACGAGTACAACCTAGTGTGCCGTTGTATTGGTTTCATTTTGACACCCAACGTGGGGATTTAATTCGTTTGTGCGTGGCCTTCAATCACTTCATTGCGAATATAATTTATAAAATTTTGTGTGGTCAGGACTTCAATTGTATCTGTGAGTTGGTCACTCCTCGGGTTTGTTTGATCAAGCACAAATATTCAGAAGTATCGATACGAATACGTTTTTCGTTTTCTTTTCAGTAATTGTTTTCCTTTTTTTTATCAATATTGATAGTATAGTTGATAAATTTTTTTTGGTTACTGCAATTGATAGAGTACATTCAAGATGGCTCGAATGGATATGAAAATGAACGTGAATCGTCTCACTCATGATGAATTATCATATGAACTTAAAATTAGGAGCATTGCAACTGGTACGGTCGAGGTGATGCGACATTCCTTATCTATGGCTCTGAGGCTTGAAGAAAGTGGAGATAGTTTGAAGTATTCTGCATACCCCTTCACTCTTGAAGAAGACATGCAAGCAGTGAAAGATTAGCTTGCAGAAATAGAACCGATGGTAACTGCGTTTAATGATTCTTCGAGTAGTGATACTTATGCTGAGTTGCAAACTAAGCTGGGACACATTCTAAATAGACTGGACCACATCGATGAAGAATCGTCAGAAAGACTGAGCTGCTGGATGAGCTTCTCAGTAAAGCGGAGGATTTTTATAGAGTGAAGGATACGCCCGCTCATCTCAGTTTTTTTGACCAAAATGTTGGAACTCCAACATCAAATGCTCGAAGTCCAGGAGGAGTCTCACCCAACCCTGATAGGTCGTGAATCCCATCGGTAACCAGCCCAATGTGAGATCTACGCTGCCTGAAAAGTGGTATTGCAAATTCTCAGGAGATAGGAAAGGTCTTACTTTAAGTGCCTTTTTGGAACGGGTTGAAGAATTGCGGATAGCTCTTCACGTTTCTAAAGAAACGTTGTTTATTTCTGGTATCGACATTTTCAGTGTTAGAGCCTAATAATTTTACCTTGCTTATTGTGGTGAGGTTAATACGTGGGACGACTTCGTTACTTTGTTACGGGAGGAGTACTTGTCTCAGATTATCAGGAGGAATATTACCCCCTTCTATCAGACACAGTTAGCATTAGTTGGAGTTAAATCGGTCAGTCAATTGAGAAAATTAGGTAGGCGGCTTGAAATACTGAAGAAGTCCGTTGAAAATTTTACTGGACCCCCACGAAAGAACCTTTCCCTTGAACCTGATTTAGCTTATGTCCAAGCTGGAGGAAGTGAAGAGGATATTTGTGCAGCCTCTTCTTTTTCTGGGAAGAGCAGTTCTTTGAAGGCATTAAAGGAAATGTTGTGTTACAGGTGCAACAAACCGGGACATCGAGCTGTTGAATGCGCTCTAGCTCGAGGTGTCTTTTGCTATAAGTGCAAAAAGGAAGGTGTAGCAGTAAAGACCTGCTCAAACTGCTCAACGTGGAAAAACGCCGTTTGGGCTCCATAATGCCCCAGCGACATGGCAGAAGCTCATCGACAACGTTCTTGGACATGATTATTTGTATTTGGGTATCTGAACGATGTCGTCATCGTCACTCAAACTGTTGATAAGCATCTCTCTGTCCTGGAAGAAGTATTAAGTCGGCTTCGAAGGTCTAACAACTGTGAGTTGGGACAAGTGTCAATTCTGCAGACCCTAAATTAAATATCTTGGGTATGAGGTAGATCGGAACGGACTACATGTTGAGCCTGACAAAGTTAAATCGATGTTGGAACTTCCCACCCCCCACAAACGTTACGAAGGTGCGTACGCACGTTCTCGTGGTATAGACGTTTCATGCCTGATTTTTCGTCCCTAATTGCCCCTATTACTGCCTTGGTTCGCAAAAACTCAAAGTTCATTTGGACCAATAACTGTGCAGAGTGATTTAGAAGAATAAAGGAGTGTCTGGTATCTGCACTGAGCTGCCCGGACTATTCGAAACCGTTTGTGGTCCAGACCGACGCTTCAGGCTATGGAATCGCAGGAGTCTCAACCCAGCCTCACGATTCGGGTGATCAAGTTATAACATATATTACTCGTTCCTTTACTAAGCAGGAACGAAATTACATTACGACGGAGAGGGAATGCCTAGCAGTGCTATGGGCCATTGAAAAGCTCAGACCCTATTTAGAAGGAGTGTCTTTCACTGTGGTGACTGACCACTACAGTTTGTTATAGTTGCACAACCTAAATGATCTGACGGGCCGCCTAGCCCGTTGGGCAGTGAGGTTGTAGCAGTACTCGTTCACAGTAGTGCATCGGAAGGGTAAGGAAAATGTTGTACCCGATGCGTTGTCGAGAGCGGTTCCTATGGTGGATGAGGTGGAAGTGACCAAGGAAGAAACTCCAGAATTGAGGAATCTAGGCTCCGACAAATGGTATATTGAGATGTTAGCTAGAGTTGGGATAGAACCACTCAAATTTGGTGAATGAAGGATAAGTACAAATACGTTGAGGTGGTTTTCCCTGGACTGGCATCGACTGTGGATGCGTCCCTAAGCATGATAGACCATAGATAATTGCTGCTGCCCATGAGTCGTCGACATCAGGTCATATGGGGATATATAAAATATATGCAAGAGTAACTGAAAGACACTGTTGGCCCAAGATGAGGAGCGATATCTCGAAATTTATTCGTGGTTGCAAAGTGTGCGCTGCATACAAGTCCTCTCAAGAAGTACCCACTGACAAGATGGTGTCTCACTCCAAAGGAAGTAGGCCTTGGGAAGTAATTTCGACAGACTTGATTTGCCCACTTCCTAAATCGAAGAAGGAAAACAGCTTTATACTAGTTGTGACCGACTATCTGACCAAGTTTTGTCTTCTATTTCCTCTGCGGAAGGCCAACGCGAATGCGGTGGTTCGCAATATAGAGAGGGGTGTATTTCTGATCTTCGGAGTCCCAAGAATCATTATCTGTGATAATGGGGCTCAGTGTAGGAGTAGAGAGTTCGTTAAGTCTGCTGAGAGGTACCGCTGCCGCATAAAATTCACGTCTAATTATAGTCCTAGGGCAAATCTTACCGAAAGGATTAATAAAACCATCAAAACTATGCTGGCCATATACAGTTCTGAAAATCATAGACGTTGGGACGAAAATCTTGACGAAATCGGATATGCTACCAGAATGTCTGAACATGAAGTCACTGAAGTGACGCCATTCTTCCTGAATTTTGGACGCAACATGACCATGTCGGGATTGGATTGCGAAGGACCAGCTCTTGTT